CTGAGGAGCTGGGGCTGGGCCTGGGAAAAGCCAGACACCCCAGGACGTCACCAGGCTCCCCTGCTGTGGCTCTCACCTGCTGCTAGACAACCAGAAGCCGCTTGGGGGCAAAGGGCGTGTGTACCCCAGCCTAGCCCATGGCTTACCCATTAAACTGAGGGCTGGGGGTGCTGAGAAGAGCTGGGGGTCTGCTGCTACGAGATATACTTCTAGGCCTGGATCTAGATCCAAGGACCCTGGGTCAACAGTCTTTGCCTCTAGTGTCTCATCCATGAAGATGATCTAATGCCAAATGCCAAAGGCTTCTTACTAGGGAGTTCTAGGGAGGCAGAGGCAGAGGCAGACCCCAAACCTGGCGCCCCGGGCCTCAGACCACTCAACTCAAAAGGCTGTCCCAGGTGTGGCAGCCCGTTTGGAAGTGGGGGGTTTCACAAATGCCCCTCTTGGGTCTCAAGGCCCGAAAGGTCCCCACTGAATGGAACTGGGGGCAGCCACATGGCCAAGGCACCACAACGAGGCAGCAGGCCCACTGTCCCGCCCGAACAGGCCCTGGCAATAAGCTATAGACCGGTCACCTCGGGGGTGTTTGCATGTCCTGGTGTTTCCAACAGCAGACTCCACGGACACTACGGCCTGTGGTGCAGAGACCGGGCAAGAAAGAGTGGCACCAGGTAGCTCGTGACTCACCAGTTCTGCCTCTGCAGACTTAGCTCCTCCCCCTGAGCAGCTGTTTCCTAGAGCCGGGGCACACCAGCTGCAGGCTTTGCTCACCTGCCTGCCTGCCTCCCTCAAGGGAAGGGACCTTAACTGTTCTTCTCAGTATCCCTGGTAGGCACTTGCTCAACTAACTTCTTGCCAATTGTACTTTCCCCTGTGAGAGCTGGGCTGGAGGCCTTGAGGGGTACAACTATAAGAGGCCAGGTCCCTGGCAGGAGGGACATACTGACTGCCCTGTAACTGGGGAGGTTGAAAGAGGGAGAGAACGCTGTAGCTCAACAACCAAGGGGAGCCTCCTGGTGGAGGAGGCACCTGAGCTGTGTCTGAGGGAATGTGAGGGCTATCCATGTGTGAGGACAGTGGCCCAAGAAAAGGTGAAGGAAGAGACTTTGTCTAGCATGTTGTACACTGGGAGCAGACCTCATTTGGCTGGAGTGTGGGGCTTCGGGAAGGGAGAAGAGGGAGAGGACACTGGGGGTGCCACCACCTGTCCTTGAGGGGCTCTAAGTTCAGTGGAGAGGAAGGGCTGATAGCCCAGAGCGCACAGTTGAAGGAGCAGGGACCTGCCAAGGGCTTTATGAGAGTGGGCAACCTCCCGAAAAGAGCCTCAAAACCAAATTATTCTAGACTAGAGGACCGGTGCACAACATTCCCTCAGCCCAGCCTGTGCCCTCTCGCCGTCCGGGACCCCTTGGGGGATGTCTGCGGGAAGGGGGCCTAAGCCAGCAGGTGGACACCCCCCACCCCCAGGGGTCTTTAGCACTGCTGTGGAGGCAGGAGAGGCCCCCGCCACCACCGATGGGCTCGCCAGCCGTGAGCCCAGCTTCTGGCTGAGTGGCGCTCCCCCTGTGATAGCGCACTGACCACCAGGGGGCAGCTCCTGCATTGAGCATCTGCCACCTGGTGGTCAGTGTGGGTCATAGCGACCGGTCATTCTGCCATTCACTCGATTTGCATATTAGGGTTTTATTATATAGGATTGTTTTTAAATACAAAGTAAATGGAAGCTTCTCCCCCTGCCTCCACCCTCCCCCCGCACCTGCCCCCACACACACATACACAAACCAAAGTGGTGGTGGACTACAGCACCTACCATCTGAACCTGGAATGGACTGGGAACATTTCCTTTCCCAGGCCTGTCCCCTGGTCTAACATGCTTGGGAAGAGGGCAAGGGTTTGAAAGAAGTCACAACGGGGCCATTGCAGGGCTGGGGGAATAGGCTAGGAGTGGGACAGGCTCCCCATTCTGAGCCAAAGTGACCGATGCTGACATATAAAAGCAAATTTTCTGGGCAACTGTCCACTGACACCATGGCCTTGGGCTGCTTCTGTACTAAGCAGACCCTGGGACAGGGGTGCAGGGCTCTACTCAGGGCTGAAGGAGGCTGGGAGAGGCTCAAGTCCCTATTTCCACAAGGTCCAGTTAGGGCTCCCCTCAGGGACAGAATGATGGTACCCAAAGGCATCGTCCCTCCTGGCTGGCTCCCCCCTATCCCCCCCAGCTCTGCAGTCAGTGCCAGGAACCTCCTTCTCTGGGCTCCTGCACCTGCACCCTCGTCTGCTCGAACCCATCTTGGAAATAACTGTAACTGCTCCCCATCACCCTCTGGTAGGCTCCTCTCTCACAGGCAGAACACAAGCTGGGGAGACGACCACCTGGCCCAATCCGAGCTCTGCTGCCTACCAGCCATGTGACCGGGCATGCTTCAGTTTTTTCATCCACAGAGTGGGCACAACAACGACCTCCCACCTTGGAGATGAGCTGAAGGTGATGGTACCTTTGGGAGGTGATTAGAGTTAGATGAGGTCCTGAGGGTGAGGGCCTAATGATGGATTAATGCTTTACAAGAAGAGGAAGAGAGAGGGATCGCTCTAGGTGCACACATGGTGGAAAGGCCATGTCTTGTGAGGACACAGTGAGAATGTGGCCACCTGCAACCCAAGGAGACAGATACCAACCCTGCTGGTACCTTGATCTTGAACTTCCCAGCCTCCAGAACTGTGAGAAATAAATTACTGTGGTTTAAGCCACCCAGTCTATAGTATTTTGCTTTGGCAGCCCGGACTGAATAACACACCCTCTTGCTCATAAACGGAGTCAGGACCAATGACCAGCCATCCCCATCCCCTGCTCTGTGCATGGGGAAACCCACTGGGTGCCCCCCAAACCTAGGAAAATCAACATCATGCACACTCTGGAGGCCACGTGCATGGTCTCCGTCAAGCACACGCAGGGCTGGTTGAACCTCAGCATGCCAAGCAGCAGGCACAGTCACTGCCACAGGACAGGGAGGACTGGCAGAGAGGAGGCAGGCAAGTGGGAGGCCACGTGCAGTCAGTGAGGGGCGGGGAGCTGGCACAGCCCATGACCGAGCAGCCCACGCCTTGGTGCCCGGTTCCTTACCTCCCCTGCAGGACCTCTGACCACCAAGAAGCTGGAGGCGTGCTGGAAAGAGTAGAGAGCAGGAGACAGGGAGCAGTAGGCACCGAGCCAGTTCTACAGGAAAAAAGTGCTGGAAAGGACCCCCAAGGAAAGGTGTTAGGTTCGGGAAGTCTGTGGCAGAAGTGGTTTCCAAGAGGCCCAAAGGACCCAAATGCCAAATGAAGATCGCCCCCCAAGACTGGCCTGTGCCAGGGGCCCAGAGAAGGGAATGAGAGCAAAGGGAGATGAGCCCACAGACTGGACCACCCCAGAGGGGCACCTGCCCTCCGCAGGCTGGTGCTGGGTCTGTCCAGGGTGACATTCTTGGCAGATTTCCTGGGATGGCGTGAACAGGCTCTCAATGGGGAAAGGGGTCCGGGCCCCAGCAGTGGACAACAGCCATTAGGAAGCCCCATCAGCCAGGGACCAGGAGGCTATGCCCTGCACAGACATCACAGCCAATTCCCCAGGATCCTAGGGAGACAGAGGAATGGGGGTGGGGACTCATATTCCAAGGCCGGCATCAGAGAGTGGAGGTTCCTGTCCTGGCTCCACCTCAAATCTCTGGGTAACTTTGTACAAGGCACAGAGCTTCTCTGAGCCTCAGTTTCCCCATATGTAAGATGGAGAGAACGTCCCTCTCTATGTTGGAAAGAGGGTGACATATAGTCTGGCAATGCCGGACACCAAATCCCCACAGGGCCACACACGTTTCTAGACTTTTCTCTGGGGATTGGTTTGTGCTGAAATAGGGAGATGACCAAACATTCAAAATTCCTGGGCAGAGGGCCACGCCTCAGGCTCTGTGATCCCAGCGCTTCTGGATCCTGGGAAGAAGGAGCCTGAAGCACAAAACTATTACCCCAGGTGGGCCATTCACAACCCCCTATATCGTAAAATTCCTACATCACTGACCCCATGTGCCGGGGCCTCCACCAGAGCACCCCTCACCCTAGGAACTGGTTCTGACCTGCCCGTCACTGGGCCCTGCCACCACCTCCCCTCCCCGGGGCACTCACGCCAGGTGCCCAACAAATATCTGAGCAGTGACAGGCTGCTCTGTACCATCAAGCACCCGATTTGTAGTCATTGTCAGCCACCGGCACCAGCCTGACAACAGGATGGCACATTTTTAAGCCTTTCTCAACCTGGTTACACAACTAATTCCTCTTGGTCATGGTAACCCTGTGAGGGCAGGTATTACTGTCCCGTCTTACAAATCAGTCAGCTGCGGCCAAGAAAGGTGACGAGGGCAAGGGCACACAGTGGGCAGCTAGCTGTCGGCAGAGCCTGGGTGAGAACCTGAGTCTTCTGACGTCCAGCCTGGTGCCTGCCCTCAGCCAGCATGCCCAGTTACTACTGCTGTCCACGTAGCTGGTCGTGGCCTGGGCACTACCCGGAGGTGACGTATCTTGGACATCGGCCCAGCAGGCTCACCCTCAACCCAGCATCTGCTGCCCTACAGCTACCACCTGCTCCTGGCACAAGGGAACCTGAGTGTACCGAGCAGGGCATGGGTGGGGAGCCCCAGAGGTGCCCACACCTACCTTTGATGACAAAGGCCTCTGCCAGCAGCCGCATCTGATACAGGGGCTTGTTCTCCATGGACATGTCATCGATCCCGGCCCGCGCATACATGCTGATGGCATCCCGGTAGGAGCCCTCCACGTAGTGCAGCTTGCCCAGGATCAGCATGGCCTCACACATGTACCTTGACTGAAAGGATAAGGACCACATTAGCAGGCTCCTGGCCCAAAGTCCCTGCTTCACCCACCCCAACAGGTAGGATGAGCACCCTCTCGCGGGAGCCATGACGATCTGCCTAAGACCCTGCTCAGAAGCCTCCTGCAGGAAGCCTTCCCTGACCTTCGAGCGCATGCCCAGGGCTCCCTTCTCTCCACACCTGCAGTCCATGGTCTACTTATTGAAACTCTTGACATTGGTATTGAAATCCTCTTAGGAGCCCCTAACTGTTTCACGTGTGTGTTGTATGCACCCTGCTCCACTGCAGGCAGCCTGCAGACTGGGCCGCCTTCTCTCTCCTGCAGCCCCCAGAGGCTGCAGCAAAGGCTGGCACCCGGGAGTTCAGACACTTGTTCTCAATGCAAGTGAGAAGCCAGGGATGCAGTCCCGTTTTGTGGGACCTCATATAATTTGGGGTGGGGGTGTGTAAATATACACAAACATAAAATTAGGTGGAAGGCCGTGGAGAGAACCATGCAGATGACAGGCCTCAAGCTGAAGCCCCCCCGAACAACAGCAGGACCTCTGTGGGGAGGGGGGTGAGATCAGCAGTGTGGGGCAGAAGGGAGGAGGAGAGTGAAGGCCTGATGGGCCCCCGTCCCATCTTATCAGAAACAGGTAATAAAAGTGCCCAGTCAAGTGCCTGAACTCACACCCGTTCTCTCTGCCTTACTTTTCCAAGTGCTGCTTATGCCCAAGTCTGCATCCCATACAAGGACTCTCAGGCCTCGAGGAGGTCTGGTTGGCCCGGCCCCAGAATTATGGCCTTCGACGTGGGCCAGCCTGTCTTCAGGATCTCCCACCTTTGGGGCTCCCTACTCTAGTCTGCTGTCTTCATTTCTATGCTCAGCAGGCCCACCACCCCTTTGGCCAGGCTGCAGGCACTGTCCCACCACGCATCATCCATTGGCCACAGAGCTCCCTGGAGAAGTTGCGCTGGTTCCCAACCCAGCCTGTCTCCGCAGGAAGGAGCTGCCCCTGACTCCCTGCGTGGCGATCAGACTCTGGGGCACAGTGACAGACTCTGGGGCACAGTGACAGACTCGGAGGCACAGTGACAGACTCGGGGGCACAGTGACAGACTCGGCGGCACAGTGACAGACTCTGGGGCACAGTGCCAGACTCTGGGGCACAGTGACAGACTCGGGGACATAGTGACAGACTCTGGGGCACAGTGACAGACTCGGAGGCACAGTGACAGACTCGGGGGCACAGTGACAGACTCGGCGGCACAGTGACAGACTCTGGGGCACAGTGCCAGACTCTGGGGCACAGTGACAGACTCGGGGACATAGTGACAGACTCTGGGGCACAGTGACAGACTCGGAGGCACAGTGACAGACTCGGGGGCACAGTGACAGACTCGGCGGCACAGTGACAGACTCTGGGGCACAGTGCCAGACTCTGGGGCACAGTGACAGACTCGGGGACATAGTGACAGACTCTGGGGCACAGTGACAGACTCGGAGGCACAGTGACAGACTCGGGGGCACAGTGACAGACTCGGCGGCACAGTGACAGACTCTGGGGCACAGTGCCAGACTCTGGGGCACAGTGACAGACTCGGGGACATAGTGACAGACTCTGGGGCACAGTGACAGACTCGGAGGCACAGTGACAGACTCGGGGGCACAGTGACAGACTCGGCGGCACAGTGACAGACTCTGGGGCACAGTGCCAGACTCTGGGGCACAGTGACAGACTCGGGGACATAGTGACAGACTCTGGGGCACAGTGACAGACTCGGAGGCACAGTGACAGACTCGGGGGCACAGTGACAGACTCGGCGGCACAGTGACAGACTCTGGGGCACAGTGCCAGACTCTGGGGCACAGTGACAGACTCGGGGACATAGTGACAGACTCTGGGGCACAGTGACAGACTCGGAGGCACAGTGACAGACTCGGGGGCACAGTGACAGACTCGGCGGCACAGTGACAGACTCTGGGGCACAGTGCCAGACTCTGGGGCACAGTGACAGACTCGGGGACATAGTGACAGACTCTGGGGCACAGTGACAGACTCGGAGGCACAGTGACAGACTCGGGGGCACAGTGACAGACTCGGCGGCACAGTGACAGACTCTGGGGCACAGTGCCAGACTCTGGGGCACAGTGACAGACTCGGGGACATAGTGACAGACTCTGGGGCACAGTGACAGACTCGGAGGCACAGTGACAGACTCGGGGGCACAGTGACAGACTCGGCGGCACAGTGACAGACTCTGGGGCACAGTGCCAGACTCTGGGGCACAGTGACAGACTCGGGGACATAGTGACAGACTCTGGGGCACAGTGACAGACTCGGAGGCACAGTGACAGACTCGGGGGCACAGTGACAGACTCGGCGGCACAGTGACAGACTCTGGGGCACAGTGCCAGACTCTGGGGCACAGTGACAGACTCGGGGACATAGTGACAGACTCTGGGGCACAGTGACAGACTCGGAGGCACAGTGACAGACTCGGGGGCACAGTGACAGACTCGGGGGCACAGTGACAGACTCGGGGGCACAGTGACAGACTCGGGGGCACAGTGACAGACTCGGGGGCACAGTGACAGACTCTGGGGCACAGTGAAAGACCGCAAGGGAAGCTTCCACCACTCCGCACCATCTACTGCCCTCTCCGAAGCCAACTAAGAGAATGGAGTATGGCACAACCAAATTCCCTTTCCTCATAGTCTCTTTGGTTTTTGTAAATACACATTCTACCTTTGCCTTTGCTCACGCAGGCTCCCTATCTGGAATAGTCTCCCCTTCCCTCAAGCTATCCAGCTCCTCCTCGAGCCTTTGGGGTCTTGCTCAGGCCCACCTCCTCCTGGAAGCCTCCCTGACTACCAGGGAGCTCCCTCCCTGCTGAATTCCTACAATGCCTCTACCAAATGGGCCCGGTCAGCTCCTGCAAGCCTGACCTGCTGACTACTGATTAACTCTCAAAGGCTGAATTTTTCAAGGGCATTTGCTGGTCTCCCTAGTAGGCCACTCCCTCCCTGGGCCAGGGCCATACATGACACACCCCCAGGGGCATGCAGCCCACGGTTCCTCCAAGGCGGGCAACATCTCTGCTATTCTCTGCATTGGTCTCAAGCCACAGGCATGTTTCCTCCTTGCTCGGCCTCGTTATCCCATCGTGAGGGCCAGATCCTAACACCTACTCCTCATCTCCCATCATAGCTATGCCAAGAGCATTAATAGGGCAAAGTCCAGAAAAGAGCTTTGAACTTTTCTTTAGAAAGAAGCATGATAAATACAGGGCATGAGTAATTATTATTATTATTATCCTGTTCTGCTGTAAATGGGGAAAAGGGCAGCTACGCTCCGAAGGACAAGTTTCAGGGCGTGATGATAGGGTGGCGCGAGGTGGTTCCTGGTGGACCAATGACAGTTTACAACAGAGCTTCCACTTAGCTGGGGACACATTAAGGACAATGTGGGAATGTTTCATAAAGCTGAATTTATACTATTTAAAAAGCTGCCCTTAATTCTGAAAGCATATTCGTCTTGCCTTTTGGTGTTATGATGGCAATAGAGAATGGTACAGTTTTGCTGTTATTTTTTTAATGTCCATATTTGGCAGATTTGAAAGTTGGCCACACTGTGGAGCCTGTGCATTTGGATTTGAAATGTTCTTGGCCTGTCAACCCAACAGTCAGGGAACCACAGAGCCCGGGCCCAGTGGAAGGAGGCTACGCAGGAAGCCGCTCCGTCTGGGGAATAGTCCCTCTGCTGTGGAGCAGGCCTGTCACCTAGTCTTTGTGCCTCATTGTCTCTGTCAACGGACAGGAAAGAACGACCGCATGTGAATGCCCAGGTGAGAGGAGAGGAGAGATGAAGAAATGCTTCACGGAGGCAAAATGGGACCCGTGAGAGCCCAAGTGTCACCATCATCACTAACATTCGTATGAGTCATCTGTCATTATCTTGTTTCCATTCCAGGACGTAGGGACACAGCACCGAGAAGTAGGAAAGAGCATGAGGGCTTGAGAGGTGAAGACAAACAGGCCTGTGTGTAAGTCCTGGTCCTTGGTTAAGTGACTAACCTCTCTTGGGCCTCAGTTTCTTCACCTGGAGAATGGGGATACTAGAAAATGCCATTGAGAGGGTTATAAGAGGCACCCAGGAGATGGTGCAAGGCCTGGCACTCAGTGGATCACAAGTTATGACAAATGGTTGTTTTCACCGACTTCCACAGGACTGAGCTTGGCAGGCCACCAAGAGTAGGTTTCAAACTACCCTGAGGAGATGCCCCAGGACCCGCCTCTCCACTCTCCTCATCCCATCAGTTACTATACAGGAATCCACCTGGGCTGCCCTGACTGGCGTAAGTCCTGGAGCTGCTGCTATGGTCCTTGGTTAAGTGACTAACCTCTCTTGGGCCTCAGTTTCTTCACCTGGAGAATGGGGATACTAGAAAATGCCATTGAGAGGGTTACAAGAGGCACCCAGGAGATGGTGCAAGGCCTGGCACTCAGTGGATCACAAGTTATGACAAATGGTTGTTTTCACCGACTTCCACAGGACTGAGCTTGGCAGGCCACCAAGAGTAGGTTTCAAACTACCCTGAGGAGATGCCCCAGGACCCGCCTCTCCACTCTCCTCATCCCATCAGTTACTATACAGGAATCCACCTGGGATTTCATCTGCTGCCAGGAAACATCACCCCCTCCTCAGCCATACTCCAGCCTTTGGGGTAAGATAGAGAACCCCATAAACTACTTTTAACATTTTATTTTGCCTTTGGCCTGGATAACAGGGAATTTCTCTGTGTTATCAGTGACTCTGTATGTCTTTGATGAATAGAGCATGGTAAAATCTGCAATATAAAATAAACAACACAGTTTTCCACAACAATACATGAGTATACTATTAGGCCAATACAAAGGAAGAGGCATTGGCATGGAGAAAGCTCCAAGTGAAAGTTCTCAGTGCAAAAGAGCAACTTGTCAAATATGTAGCCTGTGACTCTAATAAGAAAAGAAAGCTCTATATGTGTGCATGCATGTTGGTTAACACACAGAGAAAGGAGTGTGGGACACACGCCCAATGATGACCAGTGCTCAACTACGGGGATGGGAATGGGGTAGGGTTTTGAGGGGTGGCAAACAAGGCCTTTTATTTATTATTCAAACCACTTGTTTATGTGATGAATTTTTTACAATAAGCCTAAGTCATATTTATTTTAAAAACAATTTTTAAATATTTAATGGCATCTACTGGAAAGAAAAAAATTAGAAGAGGTCTTAGTGGGAAGAGCTTGGGACTCACCAATCATGTCCAACCCTTTTGATTGGTAGATGGGGAACTGTAGGGCCCAAGAGGTCAGGGGACATGCTCAGGGTCAAGCAGCTATTTTAATCCAATACGAAATCTCCCAGAGCCTCAACCATCCCATCACAGCATGAGTCTAAAGGCGGTAACCTTAAACTTCCAGAACACTCACCCTGCACTGCTTATAGAAAAAGCCGCGTGCTTCTTGGTGTGGTGTTCCAGTCCCCATTCTCTGGACCCACTGTACTTTTATAACCTAATTACCCACCATTCCCTTTTACTCTTCCTAACTGACATATTTTAATGAAACTCTTATAAGAGGAACCCTTAGATTACACACTGCTTCCTTAGCTTGGAATGCTCTGTTGCTCTGTCCTATCTCTATATGCCCATCTCCCTCCCACTTCAAGGCCCAGCCCTCCCCAGGTCCAATTCTAGTATTACCATCTCTGAGTTGACGCCTACCTCACCCCCAGGACTGTTCCCCTCAGACTTGCCTGTGCATGTACACATGCCTGTGGCTTGTGTCAGAGTCCACCCTGGACAGTGTGCTGATAGGAATTATCTTCGCAGTAGACCTACACCTCCTGGAGGACAGGGTCCATGCTGAACTCACCTTTATTGCCCTCAAAGTACATAACACAATGCCTTGCACACAGTAGGTTGTAACCAAATGCTTAGGTTAATAAATATATTACTTTAGAATATTTCTAGAAACATTATATCTTCTTTGGGTCTCTAATGACATATCAATACCTCTACTGTAGCTCAGGGTACTCTGTAATCTAGAACAGTCTCAAATGTTAATGTGCAATAATCACCCAGAGAGCTTCTTAAATGCAGATTCTGGTTCAGATTTTGCATTTATAACCAGCTTCCAGATCATGCCCAATCTATAGGTGGGCAGACCATGCTTTGAGTAGTAAAGGTCTAGAGAAGGCTGTGACTATACTTCCCTCGGTGTCTTGCATACAGTAGGTGCTCAATAAATGCACTTGGACTTAAACTGGCTTGCCCTGTTGAGCTCTTCTGTCGCTAGCCAGCTCTGTATGTTTGCCTGTTTCCAACTAGATCTTGGGTTCACTGTTTCCCTGAGACCCCCAAAGAGCACACAGGACCAGGCACATACGAAGTCAACCAAGCATTGTCCAATAGAAATATAATTTACGCCATATGTGTAATTTAAATTTTCTAATAAAATGTTCTAGACACATTAGAAAGGATCAAATTAATTTTAACAGTTTTATTCAACTCAATTCATTCTATCATCTGAACATGTAATCAATGTAAAGTATTAATGATCTTTCACATTCTTTGTTTTGTACTAAGTCTTCAAACTCCAGTGTATGTTTTACGCTTATAGCACATCTCAATTTGGATTAGCCACATTTCAAGCGTTTATGTGGCTAGTGGCTACTGTATTGAATAGCACAAGGCCAACCCTAAAGGACACATGCTGCTCAGGTGACGGAATAACTCAGGGAGGTTGAGAGCAGATAGGAAGCAGGAGAGGAAAGGTGGCCCTACACTTGGAGGGCTGACAACTTACCGACAGCTTCCCATGGTTGAGGATACTACTCAGATAGTTTTTGGCTTCATTCATCTTTGGCTCATTTTTTTCCAGCAAAGGGATGGAGTCTTTTATCTTGGCATTATTCTCCTTCAAACACTGCTCCAGGAGGGACTCAGCCAGGAGCAATTTTCCAAAGTCATCTGAAAAACAGGGCAGCGATCTCTGAGCATGGCACATGTGGAGACTGAGACTTGTCCCTGTAGCGACCCAACCACCTGATCCCAGCACATAAATTTCCCAGGTCCGAGAAAATCAATGAAGGCACTGTTTTCATAAACTTAAACAGCCTTAAACACACACACACACACGCACACACACCCCAGCAGGTATTGTACCAGCACAAATCGCTCCTTTGGGTTTATTTTCTGTAGTTTAGTGGTTGGGGAGGCAATTTCCAGGATTTGGGACTAATTACCAGAACTTCAGAATTTAAAATGAGACACAAAGTCACACCCATGACCCATTGTAGGTAATAAAGCGTAGGGAATGGCTATTGGGTCAAGCTTAATTGTGCCAGGAGGGCTCTGCCCTCCAAGCTGGGGCTTGTATGTGGCTCTGCCACAGGTCAGTCCGGGGCTTGACCCTATAGCCACTCCCTACAATAAGTTCTTAGCTTAGACCAAGAAGGAATTTCCCCAAATGACCAGAGAAGAAAATGATATGAGATGGTTTAATAATGCATTTTCACGTGCTCCGAATTTCCAAAAAACCACATTTGGTTTTCTCCACTTTGAAGGCATTTTATTTAACATGACCCAGGGAGAACCTAGCAACCAAGTGAAGAGTTGAGGTAGGAAGCAGATTTGCTTGTCAGCAAGGCAAATCCTTAAACAGGGTTAGTACCGGCACTTTCTGGGGTTCTCTCACATATGCCAGCTTATTTGTAGACCTTACCACCTGGCAGGTGAATTTATACTGCTTGGTTTAATTTGCTGCTTCCCCCATCACATTGAAAACGCCAATCTAGTGACCACCATATTCCTGCTACCTTCAGCAAAAGTGACTCGGGTGGGAGTAGAATTCGGGGCTTCAGTGTGCAGGGCCGGAGTCAAGTGTGCTTTCATGATGGCCTCCGGAGGTAGTGCTTGATGTGCCTGTCTCATTGTCCTTCCCCTTCAACTGGGTGAGGATCAGGCCCCTACTCACATAGGTGCCCAGGAAATAGCTGCGGAGTGAACGGACCCTCACCACTACCCCAGGAGGCAGCCACAAGCCTCAGGGAGTTGCGTGCCACTCCAAAATGTGTCCAGAAATGTGTGCTTGGTCCCATCTCTTCACAGAGCTCTTTCTCCTGCCACCTACCCGGAGGTGCCACTAATTCCTCACTCTTAAGACCACCTCAGTTTAGTCACAACTCAAAGCCACTGGTTCCAGCCAGGCCAGTGGGGCTCACTGCTTGAGTGTCAACCCATGAACCAGGTGGTCTTAGTTCGATTCCTGGTCAGGGCACATGCCCGGGTTGCAGGGTTGATCCCCAGTGGGGGGCATGCAGGAGACAGCCGATCAATGATTCTCCTCATCATTGATGTTTCTCTCTCTCCCTTTCCCTTCCTCTCTCTGAAATCAATAAAAACATATTTTTTTAAATAAAAAATAACAAAACAAAGCCACTGGTTCCAAACTGCATGCCTCTGAAGAGTCTCCATCCATAAGGGAGATTCCATGAGAGAACATCCCAAAAGCCCAGAGTCCCTAGGACAGTCATAGTTCCCTCTAGGGACGCCATAGCCTTTTAGTGGATCTTTTGCTATACCTACCTCTTGATTTCTCAAATTAAGATTTGGAGGAAATGGCCAGACAAGTACCTGGTTGAAACCATCATCCATCACTAATAGAATAGAAGTTGATAGGATCTCTATAAAGGGCAAATTAGCAACATATATCAAAATTATTTTTGTACATTGCCACTGACTCAGCAATTCTGCTTCTACAGATGTCCTTGCAAATGTGTAAAGTAACCTACATATAAGGTCATTCCTGTAGCATTATTTGTAATAGCAGGAAATTAGAGGAAATCTGTGTGTCCACCAACAGGAGGCTGATTAAAGCATGGTACATCCATAAAAAAGGACACCACGCTGCTATAAAAAGGAACGAGGAAGCTCAGTCTGTGCTATTACGGAGGAATGAATTCCAAAATAAATTGACAAGAAAGCAGAATCCAGCCCTAGCCAGTTAGTTGTTCAGTGGTTAGAGCGTCATTTCCAAATCTTGGCCAGAAGGAGTGGTGGGATGCTTAGCAGCGGGTGCCTGAAAGGTGCACCTCTAGGCAAACTGCTCTCCCTCACCTGTTTTGCCTTTGTAAAACCAGGGGTGGGGTTAGGAACCTGTTCCTTGCAGGGACCTGCCCTTCCCTGGGCTCCGCCTCCTAGGCGGGTCCCCGCCCTCCTCCTGGGAGTGCACTAGCGCTCTGCTCTACAACAGCCAGCTCCCTGCGCAGCAGCAGAGCCATCCAGCCACCTGGCCCCGCCTCTGCCACCCAGCTGCCCAGCCCAGAGCTCTCCACGGTTCACTGGCTCGGTTCCTTTCAGGCCTGGAGAAACCAGCTTCCTTCCAGGCAACCCTCAATCTTGAAATACTCCCCAGGGCACGCACCGCTCCTCAAAACTATGGGAGTGTCCTTTGAACACTTGTTGCTCAAAGTGTGGTCCCCGAACTAGAACCGGTAGGTCTGTGAGTGTGTGACCCAGTCCCTGGAGGTAAGTGCAGAAACATAGAGTACACGTTCAACAAAGGTTGGCAATAATGTGACAGAATGCTTTTGAATCTGTTGAATCGAATAATAAAAAATTGGAGGGTAAACGTTTGTGTGTCTTATGCAAGTATCCGAGCACATCAGATTGGGAATTTAAAATCATAAAACTGGTCCTCACAGATCATTTGAGAAGCACTGCTCTAAACCATAAGAGCACCTTTAAAAAAAATGTACATGTTCTATGGTTGACACTATTGCAGATGGCCCGCATTTCTTCCCCGCCCCCCTCCACTCCGCCCCTGGCTCCCCCTCCAGGGCCCTCACATCACTATCGTCTGTGTGCATGGGCTCTGCATATATGTTCTTTAGCTAATTCCTTCACCTTTTAATGAATAAGGGAGACTAATATTTGTTGAGGGCCTACTGAGTGCCAGGTACTTTATTATAAAGTATCATTTAATCAGCACGGCCCTAAAAGATAGATATTATTCCCATTTTATAGATGAAAATAAAAAGATGCAATAGTATGACGGCCACAGCCCATAACAATAGAATAGCACAGCCAAAGGATAATCTGTCTCCCTCGCATCCCATGCAGAGCAAAGCTTCCGATAGTTCAGAAATAAAGAACAGTCTAAGGTTAAAAACTAATAGTGCCCTGGCCGGTGGCTCAGTTGGTTGGAGCATCATCCCATGCACCGAAAGGTTACCGGTTCCATTACTTGTCAGGCACGTACCCATGTGGTCAAGTCGATCCTCGATTGGGTGCGTGCTGGAGGCAAACTGATCGATGTTTCTCTCTCTCCCTCTCCCTTTCTCTCTTTTTCAAATCAATAAAATCATTAAAAAAGAAAAAAGGATTAATACTAATTCCAAGGGCAGGGATAAGAATTACAAGTTTTAGACTATTTTATAAATTAACACTTCAGGTCCTTCTCCAGAACCATTTTCCCTCCTCTCACCCCCACTCATTCTGTTTTGTTTAGCAGTCACTCAGTAGGTGTTGGGAATTTACTTTCTTTTCTTTCTTGCTCACTTCTCCCTGTACCAATCTTTCTCGCCCCCCACCCCAACCCCCGCCAACTTTCTTTCCATCCTATTATTCTCAACTGGCCAGTCTATGGAACTGAAGGATATTTTAAAATCAAAAGTTCTTGATTTTCAGTTGTTAAACGAGAATCCAGGTGTATAGAGGCTTCCCTGTCCCTCTCTGAAGGTAGAACAAATCGCTTTTTATCATCGTATTGTCCAAAATCTACTCCGTACACGGTTTGGGTAAAGGGGTCAGCTTCTCCCCTGCTGGGGGCATCCCCTTCTTGACAGAATGAGACTCTGGGAGCCTGGGTGCTGATTCTGGCAGCCCAGCCCAGCCCCCTGCCCTTGACAGAGACTCAAATGAGGCCACCACCTAGTGGCCACCCTGTCTGCCACCCACCTTGTTTTGAAGAACTCTGGCAGCTAGCTTCCTCTCTGCTCCCACCTTCTCCAGGCCTCTCCAGGGTGCCAGGTCACAGAGTCCCACTTCAAGGACACCTGCCTCCTCCCCGCACCCACATTTGCAGGACAGTGTTCCCCTCCCCACAACCTGCCAATTCGCTGTCTGGAAACCTGGGTGCAGCCAGCCAGCAAGCCTGGCGTCCAGACCAGGCCCCTCCTCACCAGGTCACATGGGGACGTGGCGGTCTCCACAGCTGCTCACCTCATAGGGCTGCAGAGGGTGGGGGCCTTCCAAGCGTTGAGAGAGAAGGAAGAGGCTGAAACTGGTCAGAGGCCACCCACCTCCAACACCCCTTCTAACTTCATCTGAAGAAACACTCTTTAACCACTTGGATAGGCTCTTTGTTTTTACGCGAACGAACCCCACCACAGAGAGCTGTACTCGGGGTTCCCCTGCTCCATCCTGATCAAATCTAAACCAGATGTGAGTTTGAAAGTAAGTGTGCCAAAAGGGGCAACCACCTTCCCCCTGGGTGGGTGGCGGGGAGCGGCCTCCCCAGACCGGAAAAGGGGGTAGGGGCCCTTCTGAGGGAGCTTCTCCTAGTCCTTCACTCCCACCAGACCAGCAAGAAGCCCCCTCAGTGGAGCCCTCCCCTCCTACTCCCTGCAGTGAAATCCATGCTTTGGGATTTCTAGCTTCTGAGGGAAACCCCACAGATGCGGCAGGGCCTCAGGGCCTCAGTCTGTACAATGGGTTTCAACTGGGGGTTGGCTCCCCCTCATACCTTCTTCCCCTCTCCCAAGTTATAGAACTGTTAAAGCTTCCAGGCACTGACTGGAAGAGTCCAACAGGCCAGGTGGGACTCTAAGGAACTCCCTCCTGAGTTGTGGGGGGTCAGTTCCAACAACACCACCCCGCAGAAAACAGCCTTTCAGTCCCTCAAGTGATCAAGAACCCAGTGGAACCCTAGACAGTTTGGCTCAGTGGATAGAGTGTCAGCCCATGGACAGAAGGGTCTTGGGTTCGATTCTAGTCAAGGGTATGTACCTAGGTTGATGTTTCTCTTTCTCATTCTCCCTTCCACTCTCTATGAAAATCAATGGAGAAAATATCCTTGGGTGAGCATTAACAAAAAAAAAAAAAAAAAGGAAAAAAAAAAAGAAAAAAAAGGGGTTTTTTGGGGGGGGGGGGGGCGGGGCCCCATGGAGAAAGAACCAAGATAGCAGACAATCCAAAAAAAAAAAGCTCCATGCATGGGCTTTGGGAGTCAGTTTTCCTTGCTCATGGGCATGGGTGCATTTGGGGATAGTGTATCTAAGGATTTAACAGTGGGGAAAAAATCACTGACCCCAAAATTGACAGGAGAGACCTCCCACCATCCTTCAATCTCCCTCATGCTGGTCCGTTCCCACAGTGAAGTTAGGCCAGGCTCCATATGCCCCAGTCTGTTACTAGCAGACTTGGTTGCATGGGCTCAGGCTTGGGGACAGGCTCTGCCACATATACATCATGTGACTTCTCTGAGTCTTGGTGTCTCTGTGTTTAAAATGGGGACAATAGCCCTGCTGGTGTGGCTCAGTGGTTGAGCGTCGACCTATGTTCGATTCCGGGTCAGGGCACATGCCTGGGTTTTGGGCTTGATCCCTGGTAGGGGGCATGCAGGAGTCAGCTGATCAAAGATTCTCTCTTATTTATGTTTCTCTCTCTCTCTCCCTTCCTCTCTGAAATAAATTATTTAAAACAAAAATATAATGGGGCTGAAACCGGTTTGGCTCAGTGGATAGAGCGTCGGCCTGCAGACTGAAAGGTCCCCGGTTCGATTCCGGTCAAGGGCATGTACCTGGGTTGCAGGCACATCCTCAGTAGGGGGTGTGCAGGAAGCAGCTGATCGATGTTTCTCTCTCATCGATGTTTCTAACTCTCTATCTCTCTCCCTTCCTCTCTGTAAAAAAATCAATAAAATATACTTAAAAAATATATAATGGAGACAATAATTCCTGTCCTCCCCACAGAAATTATAGAGCCCTAGCTGGGTTGGCTCACTGGATAGGGCATCAGCCCGTGGACTGAAGGGTCCCAGGTTTGATTCCAGTCAAGGGTACTTATCTCAGTTGCGGGCACGATCCTGGCCCTGGTCTGGGTGTGTGCGGGAGACAACCAATTGATGTGCCTCTCTTACATCGATGTTTCTATCTCTCTCAGTCTCTCCCTCTCCCTTTCACTCTGTCTAAAAATTGATGGGGAAAAATATCCTCGAGTGAGGATTAACAAAAAAATAAAAAAGGAAAAAATAGAGAAAGCACTTTATACCATACCATTTATAAACTGTCATACCAGTGTTTCCCAATAATGCTTCACAGAATATAGTAAGGGAAGTCTGAGAAATGTGGTATTTATACTCTAACCTTGGCTTTAACATCACATGCAGCTGAGCATATTAAAGGCCCTTATAAGTCCTGCAGTTTAAACGATATTTAATCTATTAGGTCTAATTTCTTAACTTGTGTGGCTCTCTAAACTCTTTCTTTCTGGGATACCAATGAATAAACATTCAACGTCTTGAGACCGCTGGAGAATAGCTTAGGAAACACAGCCCAGTATGGCTGGAAGGAGGCCTGGTTCCTGTCTTGGTCCCAGTGTGTTTCTCTGCAGTGCCAACCTGACTCAGATTCCCATACCTCTGAGAAGACCCCAATGCCTTCTGTGTGGGTCACTTTCCATTTCCCACCCGCACCAGACTTACCCCACATCAACCCATATCGGGGATAGAGAGGAACCTGTAATTTATCTATTCTGCCCTAAAAGGGGGGGCTCACCAGCTTCTCCCATATATGTACCAGCTTTGGCCACTATCACACTTAGAACTACCTCAAAGGTTCAACCTGACTGCCCGTCCCTGCCACCTAGCCCCCCTCAGTGTCCTTCTATCCGTACCCCTCAGTGGACAGACACATTCTGCCCTTTCCACTGTCAGAGGTCAGTACACATTCTGCTACTTCCTGAGCCCCACCATCTAATGCACAATTGCCCTCTGTTCACCTCCCTGCCTCCCTGTCCATTTTGGCAACTCTTCAGGCTGGGATTTGGTGCTGCACATCTTTGAGAGGTAAGACTACAGCGATTACAAGGATGTGCTGAGAAATCGGGGTTTAAATCCTGATTCCACCACTTATCAACGGGATGATCAAGTTACTTAAACTTCCCTGTGCCTCAGTATCCTTATCTGTAAGTGGGGCAAACAAGAGTACCTGTTTCTTGGGGTTGCTGGGAGGAATTAATGAGTCCATTAAAGTGCTTAGGACAGTGTCTGGCACACAGTGAGTGCTAGGGAAGTGTTAGCTATTACTATTACTATTATTTTCATTCCTTCTCCACAGAGCCTTCCACAGGCAGTGTTTAAAACTCTTTATAACTGGGTGTATTTACTTCCTTCCACAGGGCTCTGAAGCGCTCAAAGATAGGGCTCAGAGAGGGCTCTCCAGGCTGAGCTGGAGGCACCAGGGACAGGATTTGAGGTTGGAGACGGGGGCGGGGTTTCCCCCACTGCCACATCAGGGTACTTTCCCACCCAGGAGCCCAGCCCTGCTGCTAACGCCACGGGCTGCCAGGGCTAGAAGGGTCCCGAGCCCGGCCACAAAGGAGGAAACTGAGGCTTACCGGGCCTCTTTCACACTCGCCCCCCCCCACCCCCCATCAACCCCTCCGAGTAGGTCTGTTGTGGACAGAGCTCCCGCTGTCAACTTGACTTGGGGGAAGGCATGGGGAGACACACAGTGTTCACCTGACGGGAGCTCAAAGGTGGTGCAAGAGCCCAGCCCAAGCCCTAATCTGACACGTGCCCAAACCACCATTTCACAATAGATGGAGTTGCCCACAAGATCCTAAAGGGCAGAGAGCAAAAGACGATTCCCCCTTTCCCCAAAGCACCCAACCTGCACGGGTTTTCTCCTGGGGCAGGAAAGCCGTTCTAACCGCCCGGGCACTCCTAAGACTAGCACGACAGGAAGGGTAATACCAAAGACGGCCGGCGAGGCTGGGGGGCAGTCGGGGCGCACTTCCCGGAGGAGGAGGCGCGTTTCGCGCGCTCCAGCCAGCGAACCAGCCCCTTCCCTCACTCACCGGTGTCCGGAGGGGTGAATAAGGCGCTCGAGATGGCTCTCCGGCTGCCTCCACCACTGGGCAGGACCAGCGCCCTCATCTGCCGGACCAGCTGGGGCATGCGGTCCCAGAGGCCCTCGGCGCGGCAGCGCTCCAGCTCGCTCTCTACCTTCAGGTGGGAGCCGTGTGAGCCCTTCGCAGCCATCTTCGCGCGGGCGCTGTCATGGGAGGTGCGGCTAAGAAGTGGAGACCCGGCCGGGGGCGGCGTCCCGG